GTTTATAAACTATGACATTTATAAATGTATGAATCATATGGTGAAAAACTGACTTTGAAAAATAAATCTGTTCTTTTTTCTTATAAAAGTTTAAATAAAACAAAAATATTGGTGGTAATTTTTGACTGTGTAACTGTACAAACAGCACCACACAGTTTTATCCATAACAACTCCAGTACATAAACCAAACTGACAGAAGACATTTTCACTGTGTATATGTTAACGAATGAAACCCCAGTTTACAGCAACATGGTGCTCTCAGAAGAGAAGTGGAAGTGATTTTTCTCCTGAGCGTTTAGCTCACAAGTTACAAAAAAATAATATTTTTATTTGTCTGAAAGTTTACACTCAATCTCAAACATAATACCTAAAGTATAACTATTAAAAACACGTTCCCAACATTTATTCTTTTTACTTTATAAGACCGAACCTCTTCTGAAATAAGAGTGAAGACCTAAAACTGAAGAAAGGCTGATGTTCCTGAGCATCTTTAACACGTGGCGCTGAAAGTGAGATTCGAGTCACGTCAGGTAATCCGCTGCTGCGTCTTTTCACGTGGATTAAATAATCTGGAGGGGACAGRAGCTTCAACCAGACCACTGTGACTCCAAGCCTATAAGATGCTGTAACACACAGGAAACACACACAGCTCCTAAACGCGTCACGCAGCAGAGATCAGGTAGATTTTTAAAATTCTTCTGAAGCCTGAGCGTGAGACTGACCTGTTCTTAAAAACACTGATTATTTGTGAACAGAAACCCACAAACTGAGATGTGAGTTGTGATTTTAAGCATGGATTAAGCACTGAAGAAGTTTACAACCTACCTGCGGCTGTAATGTAAATAGTGTCCTGTTTTATTGCGTGAACTTCCTGTCAGCTGCAGTGACGGCGCCCCCTGCTGTGAGAAGGTGGCAACAGCAGCGTTTAAGAAATTTGAACACAATTATGAAAAATGTCATTAAATATTTAATCAATTACATTTGTTTAATTTGTATTATACAATGATAGCATTCATATCTTACTAGAATTACTTTTTCTTCATTTTACACGTGAACGAGAGGAGTTACAGAACAATGAAGAACTTTTTTACAGTATTTCATCGAGTAATGCTTATGTATGAGAATAATTTAATAATATTTGTAATGCAGGAAGCCACTGAACATAATGATTGAACCTCAGTAATGAAAATGGAATAATATATTTCTATTTTTTTTAATAAGCTCTTACCTAAAATGACATTTTTCCATAAGAGATTGGAAAACCAAACAACTGTATCGTTTTCATTTTGTACTCAAAGCCATTTATGTGAAGCCCTGTCCTTATCTTCTAATAATTTTAAATGTAGAGTATTGAGGAATAAAATGTTCGACTAATCCAAGATGCTTGTGGCCAGAAGAGTTAGTTTCATTTAAGAGGATTTGTCGAATTACAACTTAAAGGTGCTTGTTCTTATCGTTTGATGCATTTGAGTGTGTAGATTAGTTAAACAATATGTTTGCTTGTGACTTTGTATTATTTCTTTGACTAAAAGCTAATATTGGGAATCCGCAGGTTGTCTGGAAATATGCTGGAGATCCCTAAATGATCAACACCTAGCAGCTAATGATAGCATAGCTGCCAACTCAATAAATTTTAACTTAAATCAAGTAAAACATAGTAATTACTCTGATAATAATTAAAGTTTTGTTTAAAACTGACTATTGTAACCCCCGTGTATTTAATGCTTCAACTAATGACAGCGTTTCTACAAACATAACTTATATTTCTTATATTCATAACTTAGATTTTGTGAAGCTGACAAAGATATTCTGACAACCATTGAAAAACAAGTTTATTTACAATTTAGTTTTTCTACATAAACACTGAAACAAGTCACAAATTTGTTTAAGTCTAGATTTAGGTCAGGCTCACCCAGACATCTACGGAGCCTGCGAGGGGACATGGGGAGATTTTTTTCTTTTGCGTTACCTCGCAATATCTTTGTTACCTTGCAATACTTTTGCATTACATCGTAATACTTTTGCGTTACCTTGCAATACTTTTGCATTACCTTGCAACATCTTTGCGTTACCTCGCAATACTTTTGCGTTACCGTTACCTCGCAATACTTTTGTGTTACCTCACAATACTTTTGCGTTACCTCACAATACTTTTGCGTTACCTC